TATTTAAAATAATATACAATATACAATAGTTTATATAATGTAGTGAAGCTTAAAGGTAATAAAAAAGAATCCGACTAACTTTAGCAAAAGTGAACTACAAATGATTATATGGATAAAGAAAAGCATGCAAAAGATGTAAGGTTGGTGGGCATTTGGATGGAGATTATGAAATAATGGTGGTGTCATATTATGATTAGTTTCACAAAGCATGCTAATCTTTAAACGTCACCGGCTCATGTTTTTCTTCATAAATTGCCCTCCAAATGAGCGATGATGTATTACGAAAGTGGAATGATGGTACTCACAGATGAGCATGCAATATTTGAATTCTAATCGCTCATATACCAAAAATTAGCTTAAATAAAGTTTTTATAATTATCATGATATAGTAGTAACTACATTGCAAACCCCTATGGTGTACTACACAAATGAAATATATAATAATAATAATAATAATAATAATAATAATAATAATAATAATAATATAAAACAATAATAATATTATTATTATTATTATTATTATTATTATTATTATTATTAAATATTGAATTATTTGATTTTGAGTATTACTTTGAATATGTTTAAATCATTATATAAAAAATATCGGGAATAAATTGTTACATAAATTTAAAACTCTTAAATTTTTGGATTTATATCAAGTGAATTAGAAAATGGCAAAAATAATAAGAAAATAAAAAGTTTTATGAAGAATACATGTAAAAAAAATTAAAATCCAAATAATAATAATAACATTTTTAACTGGAATTGCGATCAAGTTGCGAAAAAAAAAAATTGCATGCTTTATTTTTCAGCAAAATCAATAAAATCGAATTATCATATGAGTTTATTGTTTCATTAAGACAAAACTGCAAGTTTCGTCCCTGTGTTATGTCAAAAATTGGATGCTTGGTCCAAAAAGTTTTGGGATTGCACCGGTGGTCCAAAAGGTTTGATATGTTGAGGCTTAATAGCCGTTTGTGTGAGGGTATTTTTGTCCAAAAGGATTGATCTTGTAAATTGTTTTACAAATAAGGTTAAATTTTGAATAAATTAAATTAAAGTTTGATTCCACTTTAACTTTTGACTGGTCAAAATAAGAACCCGATTAGAAAGTGCGCAAGGAATTTTTTTTTGTTTGTCATATGATCGATCGTCAAGGGGAATGCAAAGGAAACGAATACAAAACACGAAGGGAAGAACGCAAGCATAATCAATTGGGAGGAAGAGGAGATTGGAACGGGAATGAACCGAAGGCAATCAAGAAGAAGGCACACGGAGTCAGCGAAGGTTCAACCGTTCTTTTGGCTGAAGGAAGGGGGTCCGATGGCTTTTGATTTTTCGTCGATTGATTCGCAATCGGTGATGGAGTTTGGATTCGATTTAGGCCGAAGAAGATGAAGGGAAAGGAGGAGGTAGCAAGGGGTGTTAGGAGGTGGTAGTCGGCGACTCATTCTTCTTCTAATCCAGTTGTGAGGTGCGGTGGGGAAAAACGAAGGGCACGGTAGTAGTAACTTGCTGATCTGTTGAGCTACCTCCGATCTACCTCCCTTATATTCGAGTTTCACTGTTGGACAGAAGAGAGACAACCGAGCCTACTAGATCAGCCCTCGCATGAAATGAAATCAGTCAAGGAGGCCGCCGGAGCAACCCCCTCGCCATCACTGCTGTTGACAACAGCCACCACCGAACCACTCTTCTACTTTCGTTTTCCTTTTCCTTGTCCAAACAAGCCAAGCACATGTGGTGCCCTCCATGGGATCAACAACTATTGCTGCTTTCATTCCATTTTCTTCTCCGATCAGACACGAAGGTGAAGAATCCCTCCTCCATCGTTTACGTTACAGGACCAAAACAATCATCGATTTTTGATTGCTTCCGTTCATTCCTTCTCTTCTTAATCTAATGAAGACAAAGTCTTTTCCCCCGATTTGTTAAGATGATGACCGTGTTGGTCCCTTTACCCAAATTTTGTATCAGATTGTCAAAACCAGGCCCTCTAGTTGTAGCTTTAAATTAAAATTAGCCACGTGGCATAAATCTTTTCAAAGCATGTCCTAATTTAATAAGATATTAAAAGAAGGGGTGTGAATTGACTGAAATACCCTCACATAAACAGAGGGTACAAACGGCTATTAAGCATTTGGACCAATTACACAACAAATCAAACTTTTTGGACCATTGGTGCAACCCCAAAACTTTTTGGACCGAACATCCAATTTTTGACATACCACAAGGACCAAACTTGCAATTTTGTCTTTCATTAATAAAAGTCTATTTGATTTTTTAAGATTTTTTTTCTAGTATGTGTACCAAATCAAAGTAGTATGTATAACGAATATGATATGAGTTTATTGTTTCATTAATAAATGTCTATTTGATTTTTTAAGATTTTTTTATACCAAATGAAAGTAGCATACATAATTCATACATTAATTCGTACTGTATATTCATATAATTTAATTAGTAAAAATTCAGTTAAGAAGCTCTTATTCATAAATAATATAACTAAATTCGTCAATGTGTGATTAATTCATTTAGTAGAGACTTCCACTAAGATTGGAAGTATTGGATTTTAATCTGAATGTTTCTTCTAACTTTTATACAATAATCAGCCATTCAAAAAAGAAAAAAAACTAGATTCATAAATATATATAATTCTATTTATAAATAACTACAACTTCATTCGAACAAAGTTCCATTGAAAACAATTTACATAAATAAAACAAGTCAACGTCATAATCACAAAATCCAATCCGTAAAAATGATTCCCAAGCCATTGATGTATAAAAAGATGTCAACAAAGTAAAAAATTAAAAAAAAAACACAATAATTCATTATTGTTGACGTTTCAATGACTACAAATTTTCTTCTGATATTCATTTTTATCCTGCTTGATCTCTACATCATTTCAATTTCAAACAAAACCGATGAATAGTAGCATGAAATGTGATATCCTTAAATTTCCATCAAATTTAAAAATTATTTTATTCTTTGAAAAAACTCATCTTTCTTAAAACTTGGCAAGGGAAAGATCATTGTATGACCGCAACCTATGGTAAAATATATTTTGTTACTTTTATTGATGACGTTATAGATATGGTTGTGTTTAACTGAGTAAAAATAAATTCTAAATCTTTAATGTGTTGCTTTCAGAATATTTCAATGCAAAATATGTTAAAAATATTATTTTAGAATATCAGAATATTATATATAATATATTTTTTTTTGAATAACAAAATATTAGAATATTTTACTAAAAAATAATCTTTCAGTCTCATAAAATTCGACCCGTTTGAAATGAACCTAACTATATATATATATATATATATATATATATATATATATATATATATATATATATATATATATATATATATATATAATGTTGGTTTATCATTTAAAAGAACATAACCAAATCATAGTTTAAACAAAGAACATTCACACGATTTTTTTTCGTTTTATTTGTTTGTATTCGTTCGTTGTTTGATTAATTTAAACGAACGTGAGCAAGGTTTTTTTTTTTTTTTTTTTTTTTTTTTTTTTTTTTTTTTTTTTCAATAACAACCTACAACCTACATATAGAGATACACATAGGGGTGACAACTCTCAATCCAACTCATAATCCGATACTGACCCAACCCGAAAATAGACGGGTTTGGGTTGAGATTTTTGACCCGCCAACCCGTCAACCTGCCAATCCAGTAACTCGTTTATTTCATGGGTTGGGTTGAGTTATATATTTGGGTTCGCGGGTCAACTCGCCAACCCGTATATATATATATATATATATATATATATATATATATATATATATATATATATATATATAATGATATATTTAATTATTAATGAAATTTGATTTCCATCCGTATTCGTAATATTCTGTATGGTTATATTCCCTCCATATTCATATGTGACTAATCTACGTTTTCGGTTTGTTAATAAAAAAAAATACATGTCGTTATTTTCACGAGTCACAAACGAAAAACACATCCACTTTCTATGAATGTTTTCATTTTTTATTTTTATTTGGATGTTATTGACTTTATGAATTTATGTTGAAAACATTTTTTATGTTAATTACTTTAATCGTTTTATGAATTTATTTTGAAGAAACCTCATTTTTTAAAACGTGTTGCTTATTTATTAAATAAGTTATATGGGTTGGATCTGACCCATTAACTTGTGAACCCGTGAACCCATATACGTAAACGAGTTATATGGGTTGGGTTGGATTGAGGTTTCTAACCCACCAACCCGTCAACCCATATATTATATGGGTTGAGTTGAGTTTATGTTTTTCGACCCGTCAACCCGTGACCTGTCAACCCGAACCCAACCCAATTGCCAGGCCTAGATACACATTTCAAACTAGTTTTTTGAGAATTGATAGGAAAAAACTGGAATTTTTTTGAGAACCGGTTAGTTTAAAATCGAACTGCTAGTTAGGAGTAGGTTTTAAGATATAGCTAAAACTTATAGCTAAAACCAAGTTTTTATTATAACTGAAACAAACCAGTTTTTAACTGAAAATTTTGATTTTTTACATAATTTCACTCCATAAAAACCAAAGCAATTATAATAGAAACCAATTTAGAGAAACTGTTTAAATAAACCCGAAATCGATTCAAAATCGGTATAAAATGCGGCTCTACCTAAGTTGCAATCAACCTTAAAATGAAATAAAACAATCAAAATAAAATTTTATTTGGGAAATGACCAACTAAAGCAGTTAACTATTGGGCTTTTTGGAGTCGTTGGAATGTTTGTGGACTTGGATCTTGTACCTAAACGGAGTTATAGTTAGCTATTGGGCATTTTGGACTTTATAGGTTGGAATGTTGTTGTAACCTAAAGCCCTAAACGGCTAAACCTGCATATTAAATTCGGCTTCTTTGAACGTTGTAAAAGCGGGTTGGCCCAGATATGATATACAATCCGATTGAAAATACGGGTCAAATCATAAACCGACTCAACATATACAGCCCACGCCCCCATATATGATTCTATGCTTTCTTGAAAAGAAAGATAACAAGAAGAGCTTCAAAACCCTCTTTCAGATCCCTCATTTTCTTCATCCACACACAAGCAAATCAATCATGGGTCAGGGAACTCCCGGCGGTATGAACCGGCAAGGTATGCCTGGCGATCGGAAGAACGATGGCGAGAAGAAGGAGAAGAAATTTGAACCAGCAGCACCGCCGGCTCGTGTTGGACGAAAACAACGGAAGCAGAAGGGACCAGAAGCAGCGGCTAGGTTACCCACGGTGACGCCACATTCAAAGTGTAGGCTAAGGCTCTTAAAGCTTGAGCGAATTAAAGATTACTTGTTGATGGAAGAGGAGTTTGTGGCTAATCAGGAGAGGTTGAAGCCTCAGGAAGAGAAGACTGAAGAAGATAGGTCAAAGGTCGACGATCTTCGTGGATCTCCGATGAGTGTTGGAAACCTCGAGGAGCTTATTGACGAGAATCACGCTATTGTATCTTCGTCAGTCGGACCGGAGTATTACGTTGGTATTTTGTCGTTTGTCGATAAGGATCAGCTTGAGCCTGGATGTGCAATCTTGATGCACAATAAGGTAAAGTAGAGTTTTTATTTTACTAGGTTGATTTGATAATTCTCATGTTTTTCCCGTAAGTCGTAACCTAGGGTTTTTAATTATACTCGTTCGATTTGATGCTTCTTGCTGCTATTGGAAGTCATACTCTAGTGTTTCAGATTGACTCGAGTTTAATCGTTGCTCTGTTTATCGAGATTTAATTCAGGGTTTTATATGTTGAGTAAAAAACAATCTGTTATTTCAAAAGCTACCTTGTCAAAGTTGTTTAGTTAAGTTACGATCTTTTACATTGAAGTCAGAAGCCTTTTACCTGGGAACTCATGGATTGGTTTAGGTTGCATAATCCTTGTATTACTTCAAATTAGGAGCTACTATTATATGTGTTCTTGAGCTTCAGTTTATACTTTAATTGCAATGAATCCAAGTTTTGTGTAGATAAGGTTGCCTGTTCTATATCTATATCAATTGGATTTTAGGCGTTTCCAAATATGTATAGATGGATTGTTAAGGTTTCATCATTTGATTAAGCTGTAGGAATGTGCTAATAGTTATCCATCTATATCTGTTACACATGTTTAGGTTCTTTCTGTTGTTGGTCTTCTTCAAGACGATGTGGATCCCATGGTGTCTGTGATGAAAGTTGAGAAGGCTCCTTTGGAGTCTTATGCTGACATTGGTGGACTAGATGCCCAAATACAAGAAATCAAGGAGGCAGTGGAGCTCCCTCTGACTCACCCTGAATTATACGAGGACATTGGTATCAAGCCTCCAAAGGGAGTCATACTCTATGGAGAGCCTGGAACAGGCAAGACATTGCTTGCAAAGGTGTGTATTGCATCTTAAAAGTTTTATAAAACATATTTTCATTATATGGATTATGGAAATCTTGTTTTGTATTGTTATTTGTTATTTGTTATTCAGGCAGTGGCAAACTCCACATCAGCAACTTTCTTACGTGTTGTTGGAAGTGAGTTGATTCAGAAGTACCTTGGAGATGGTCCTAAGTTGGTGAGAGAACTGTTCAGAGTTGCTGATGACCTCTCCCCATCTATCGTCTTCATTGATGAAATCGATGCTGTTGGAACAAAGAGGTCTGTCTGTCTGTCTGCATTAAGTCCCTATATGTAGAAACATACAGAGCATCTAAATAAGATATTTCATGCTTATTTATGCACAGGTATGATGCCCATTCTGGAGGTGAACGTGAAATTCAGAGGACTATGTTGGAGTTGTTGAATCAGTTGGATGGATTTGATTCAAGAGGTGATGTGAAAGTGATACTTGCCACTAATAAAATTGAAAGTCTTGATCCTGCTTTGCTTCGACCTGGACGTATAGATAGGAAGATTGAGTTTCCACTTCCTGACATTAAAACAAGGAGGCGTATATTCCAGGTTCACTCTCTCTCTCTCTCTCACTCTCTCATATAGATATATGTATGTATATGTGTATATTAAGGAATGTTTTGATTGTTATTCAGATACACACATCAAGAATGACACTATCTGATGATGTGAACTTGGAGGAATTTGTGATGACTAAAGATGAGTTCTCGGGTGCTGATATCAAGGCTATTTGTACTGAGGCTGGATTACTTGCTTTGAGAGAACGTCGAATGAAGGTCATTACATTACATATATATAATCACATTTTGTCTTTGTATTAAAAAGATTTAAGAGACATATTCAGAGGTTAATTGTATGTGGTTTACTTGATTTGCAGGTGACACATCCAGATTTTAAGAAGGCAAAGGACAAGGTTATGTTCAAGAAGAAAGAAGGTGTTCCAGAAGGGCTCTATATGTGAGAGGAAATATACACCTTTTATATTTGGACATATGATTCTGGCGTTGTTTGTTTTTCACCCAGACTTCATTTACAGTTGGTTAGAAAAGCTTTATGACATACATGCTTGTGTAAGTGTTTGTTGCTCCCCATTTCGTGGGAGTATTTAACTATGTTATTATCTTGTCTTGGTAGAAAATCATCCAACACTTCTTTTTTCTTCTCTCTAAAATCTAAATGCATGCATGATGATGATTGATGATGATATTGTAAATGTTGGTGAAAGTCATTTGACAAAAATCTTGGATTGCAGCGGTATGGCAGGGTATAAATTGATGTAGTCCCAAATTAAGTTCCAGTTTAGTTTATTTTACAAAATATATTACAAATTAGAAGTACCTAATATTAGTCTAATTCTTTTCTAGTCCCAAATCAGTATATTAATTACAGTACATGATATAACACCCACTTATGTATGCATACCTGAGATATTTATTGATTTGGAAAACCTTTTTGGTCCGCTTTCTTGGCTATATTCTTAATTACAGCACCTGAGGTCAATCTTTCCTTGATAAATACATAAGAAGTAAGCATCCTTTTAAGTTGACGAATGATGCTCTTTTTACATATTTAATGCATATGGTGTCTAATATTTATGAAGTTGGTTTATTTATTTATTTTTGATGCATGTGGTGATGTTGATGGGATACATATTCTAAAGTGGTTTCTGATTTTAATTTCCTATCGTTGCTATTTTAATCACATCGAATATAATGATATTCTTAATGCAGTTTAATGATATTGCATTTTTTAATCGAGTAGAGTCGAGCTAAACTTAAAAGCCTCGAGTATTTATGAACTCAAGCTTGAAAATCAGGTTCAACCGAGCTTGAGTTTTTTAATCGAGTTGAGTTTCAAGCTTGGCTCATATCGATTTGGCTCATATCGTTTAAACCCTTTGGATTGTTATGTAGGGGCAATAACTTAAAATAGCTTCATTTTTTCCTAGTTTTGGGTAGATGAATTAGAGATTATGCTTAGACCGATGGGTATGGAGCGGGAAAGGAGAGCGGGAGAGGGAACCACATCCCGGAACATCATACTGGGGCTGTGGTTTAGGGGGTGCGGGGAAAGGGTATATAAACTAAAAATTTATAAAGAATATAATAAATTTATGGCTTTTAATTTTCTATAAAACGAGCATAACATTTGTATAAATTAAAAAAAAAATAAAAAATAAAAAAATTAAAGATTATGAAAGGTGATCATTTCCTGTAAATCTACACTCAATTAGTGAAAGATGAAAGATGACCATACCTCTGCTCTTAGAGTTAATGGTTGCTGTTTTCTTTCATCCTTTTGTTTAGTAAACACTTTATATAAATAAACGTTTCGAGAGTATGATATTTCAATAAATAATAAACGATTTGAGAGTTGAGTAATTGTCTTCACAATAGGTATTAAAGTCCTCTTGAGGCCCACAACAGTAAGGATGCCACAAAGCCGTGGTATCGAATATATGGCCATCTAAATGTGAAAAAGCTTCATATATTGTGCAACAAAGAAATGGTTATGGGCGTTCCTAAGATAAATGATGCTATCGATGATGTGTGTGAACTGTGAAGTCTTTCATAAAAGAAAACGACATTGTGAACCAATTCCAAAGAAAGCTAATTAGAGCAACCAGGAGAGACAACTTTCACACACAACCTTATGTGGTCTACTCTCACCATGTATAAAAAATGAGAAAAACTACATAATAACATTATTTGATGATTTCAACAAGAAGATTTGGATTTTTTTTTTCTAATCGTAGAAAGGAGAGATGTTTGTGCATCGAAGAATTTTAAAAACTTGAAGGAAAAGGAAACAAAGAGCAACATATGCAATCTAAAGAAGTGACAAGGGAGGCAAATTTAGTAGGGAAATCTTCAATAAAATGTCAATATTTTAGTTCGGTTTATGAAAAAATCTCAAACTAAATTTAATGTACAAAAAAACATATAATACCGGCTAAAACTTCGGAAAACCCTTTTTCGTTGGCTTTACAGATTTAGTCGGCATCCCACACTTTTTCGTTAATTTTGTCAAAATATTAAGACTTTTCTGAAGATACCTTATTTTTAACCGATAACCAAAATATTTTGATTTTTCTAAAGTTTACATTGAACTAATCTAGATTATTATAACAAATCATTTATAAAGATAACATCTTTTTCAAAAAAAAAAAATACAATTGTTGCTAGTTTTCTAGGTATGAAAAGGCAGACTAAGTACTCATCTATTGTTTGCTAACAACCTCAAACTCTTACCATGACACCTATTACGTTGTATAAGAGGAATACAGAGAATTTGAAGTGGTCAACAAACAATAAGGGAGTAGTTAGTTCAAATAAGTAATTTTCAGAAAAGTCTCAATATTTGACCATATTAACGGGAAAATATTGATTTTGGATGAATTTGTGAAACGAAACAAAAAGAGTTTCTTCGAAGTTTTTTTGTAAATAAAATTTAATTTAAGATTTCTTAATAAATTTGACTATAATATTTGGACTTTATTAAAGATTTCCTAATTTAATAATAAGGAATTCAATGTTACCCTGTCAATAAAGTGAAGAGACAGTTGCCTCCTACCTACACCCAACATAATGCGGTAGACAAACATAGAAGTCCGGCTATAGCCTTCGAAAACATGATATTATATAAATGTTAGAGTGTAGGTAAGCATGATGTTCAAGGTTCCAAAGATTTTCAATGTATATAGTTCACAATCATATTTTAATCCATAAAATGATGAATTTAGACTACAAAAGCCACAAGTTTGTGTTTCTTGGTGTAAGAAAAGCCAAAGAGATAAAAGTGTATCATTTGAAAATATAATGAGTGTGTTTGGCGAAACTAATTGGTAGCTGTAGCTATAACTTTTGTTTATGCAAATGTGTTTGACAAAAACCAGTTAGTTTTTAAATGTTTAAAATTAGATAAAACTAATAAATAAAAGCTACCAAAAACTTCTTAAGTAGCTAGATTTTTGTTTAAAATAAATGCTAAAAGCACTAAAAGCTCCTACTCCCAAACAAAATTTATTTCTTTTTAGATTTTACTTAAAAAACTAAAAACTAAAAGCTCTCAAAATTCTCAAAAGCTCTACATTAACCCTAAAAACACATGTAGGTTAAATTTAATTCGAATAAGTTCAAGTGATTTGGATTTAATGTAAGTTCCATTGAATTCATTTCAAGTTGAGAAAGAACACAATGGTATAGTTGGACGTAGATGGCTGGATGGTGGACTTATCCGTTGTCTTACAGTTTGTCTCTTATCCATTTAGGTTGACAAACACTAATTGACCAAAATATCTTTATCCAAATCCACTAAGAATAACAAATCAAACACCACAATAACAAAAATCCTGACGTGAAGTAAAGTAATTGAATAATGAAATTATTATCGAATAATAAGTTAGTTTGTTATTTAATATCTTTTATAGAAGAAAAAATGTAAATACATAAGGTTCGGCTACTGAATTCCCTCTATGGGGCCTGATAAATTGACTGTCCAAAAATAATTCCCAAAAAAGCATCATACCACAAGGCATTATTGGGCAATTGGCCACAAACTTGACATCCAAAAGATTCCGAAACCAACAAAACATCGACAATGATTGCAACACCCATATCGACCACACATGTTTAGCCGGGTTCACAAACATTAACTCCAGCACATCAAGAATCGAATTTTGGGTTCCAAAATCTTGTACCCATAATGATAAAGCAAACTCGTCAAAAATCACGACAAAGAACAGTATTAGTGCAGTAAAAAGTAAAAACGTGTCATTCCAGCACATTTTCTATTGTTGTATACAATGATTCAAGTCAAGAATCAACTCGAGACGTGGGGAATCAGTGGTACATATGTGTTGGTAATGGTAAAAAAAATAAAATAAAAAGAAAGCTATTTTTTTATCGGGTATAATTACACGTTACACGGATCCTAGCTCTTACGCTACAAAATTTAGTTGGCTAAGAAGCCTGTTTCGTGAATAACCGCTCCATAATCAACCTGAAAATCAATGAAATATTAGCTAATAAATAAACTACTTGCCCTTTTTCCTGTAAATTCTTGTAAATTCACATAAGCTAGCTATATATATATATATATATATATATATATATATATATATATATATATATATATATATATATATATATATATATATATATATATATATATATATATATGTACCGTTTTGGAGATGATCTGGGTCGATAGGATCTTTGCTGCTGCTTGGCTTCGTTGCAGTGGAGGCCATCCCTTCTTGATTCTGCTATTATAGACGACGACAATTTGTGTCAGTTGTATAAATTGTTAAAAAATTAAGTTAAACATTGTTGAATAAAAAGGTGAAAAATGCCTGAGGAAGCGGTGATGGTGTTTGATGTCGTAGACCAATGTACTGTTGAATTGGATCGGCGAAATTTGGAACTTGTGGTTGGTTTTGATTATGTAGAGGAAATGAACTCATCATTGGAGCTGAGAGGTTAGAGGCTTGACTCGTTGCAGGACACGTGGCATTAACGGGATGGATGTTAAATCCGGTAACCGGGAAACGTGGGCCCATATGAGTACCCGGGCTGGGGAGTACTGATGAACCAGGAAGAATGGCGGGATATGGAACCATGACACGGTTCATCCCCATGTCCATGCTCATGCTCATCCCCATCCCCATCCCCATCCCCATTGCCATGGGCGGCATGTATTGTTGGACACTTGGGAACATCATAGGAACCATGTTGCATCCCATCGACATCATCTGCAAAAAAAAAGTCAAGTAGTAGCTAGTTTCATAGTTTCTTAGGATTCATGTGGACACTGAGTTTTTACGTCAGCCACCTAACACCTAGCAGGCTGTTGTGCACTTTCTTATGCTCCTATATGGTGTGCATCGGCTTAATTAGGGATTACTGGAAAAACAACATTTTAGCAGAAAGTATAAGCATAGAGTATACCTGAACTTGCATTTGAAGAGACTTCAAGTATTCAATTGCTTCATCCAGCATCGAAGCTTTGTCGGACTAAAATCATTAAATTTTGATTTAGAAGATGTTAAGGGTAAATCCGTAAAAGCAAACATTTTATCTTTAAAATGAAAAGAATGAATATATGAATGTACCACGTACCTTACTGGAACGAGGTATTAGTTCTTGCAAGGCCTTCATTTTTTCATTAATCCTATCTCGACGTCTCTACATATAAAATTATATTAAAAAAAAACGAATATTAACACATGATCAACTTTCATATTTTGACCGAGAGGAGTGAAGTACTAACCCTCTCTGAGAGATTGTGGACCTCTGCAGCACGGGACCTTTTCATGGAGGTCGATCCGTGTGATTGCTTCTTTGCATCTAGACACCCGAACTCAATGTCCTTCATGTGAAAAATAACCCAAAAGATCAAAATCTCAAATATACAGCAAGAACAACAAAAATGACTTGTTACTGTGGAGTTATTTAAACTAGAAACTAAAGCTAAATCGTATTTGTTTGTTAATTATGTTTAACGGACAGTTTATCAACTAATTGTTATATCTAAAGTAGATCTTTAATGACTTTATTCAAGTTAATTAGTATGATTCCGTAACAACGTACAAAAGTTACAAAATGATAACGAACCCACTATATGTCCCTTTTGCCGCTAAAAGCTCCATCAATTTTGCTAATTGAATTTACCCATTGTCAATTTACCCTCAAACAACGGACAATTCATCCACAAAAAGAAAATGAAATCTAAGCCTACAAAATTGGTCAAATTCAAATATATGAATAGTAAAAATATGTTGGGCATTATATAAAGATGATCCCTTTGGTGACAAGTAAAAGTGTGCCCCACGAGAGGTCACATACATCAAGTTCACTTTGTAAATCAAATGATTTGTAACCCCAAATGGGAGAACACCTACTTAAACATGATAAAAACACAAGGGATAAATTAGAAGCATGGTCCCACTTGACATTTCTCATCAAATTTTGTATGCATATAGAACTTTACTAAATGGAACTAGACTGAATTGACTAGATGGAAATGGACTTGACAAGACAATCATTTCAATGTCATTTTTTTATTCCTAGCTTCCGGTCTTAGTTTTGTTCGGTTCAATTAGTTCTATCAAGTTGAGTACCGTGTACCTTAACAAACAAGGCTACACAGTTGCACCTAGCATGGCTAATAAGTGTGTGATGACGTAAACAGTCTGCAACTTATATGGCTCTAAGAGATTGGCCCCATACGGTATATTGTGTATAATAAAGAGTACGTTGCATAAAGACATAAATAACCCACACCACTGACACAGTGCCACTAGGGCTACATATTTGCTGATATCATGACCTGCTCAATCTCCAATGAGTCCCTGACCACTAGTTTTATTTTTATCACTTTGGATTTTTATGCTCTCAATTTTGACGTATTCACACTCATATAAATAACCAGATTTTTGTTTCAGTCTGCTCATACTCTCTGTACATAAACATGTTGCGGGAACTTGTGTATCCCCACATACGTAATACACGTGACAATCTTGTCTGCCACCTTGACATCCATAGTGTGACGTGGCACTTAGTCCCCACAAAAATATCATAATCCCCAAACAAGAATGCATTGGAACTTGAGGATATATACCACTACCATACCCAAGGATCAAGCCATGAGGTATGGTTTCTTTTTCACGCGTAGAAATCTCATGTACTTGGATTCTATGTGGATGAGATGTTTACTAGTGAACACCACCTCCAATAAATGTAGTGGTGGTGTGGATCAAAGCTAATCATGGGTTCTCACACCTAATCAAAAACAATTTTCTCTCTATCTCTCCTGTTCACTAGTGAACATCACCTCCAAACAATATATTACATATATCTGGTAAATATCTATGGAGGGATTTATGCCGACAATAATCCAACATGGAAGGTGTTGGCGACAACAAATTCCACCTCATGATCATTTTTTTTACTGGCGGTAATATACCGTAGACATGTTTCCACCCGATCAATATAGAAGATAAAGCCTTAGTTTCAATTTTTTGTGTCGTTGAGATATTTGAAACAAATATATTTTGATTAATATAGGTGATTTGTTTTTTTTTCTCTATGAATTGTACAATCCATATAAAAAGAGTAAATGTCATCTAGGTATCTATATTTCAACAACCTTATTTACTAACCAAAATACCAAAATAAACGTAATTTATTAAAAAAATAATAACGATTAAAAACTATATAACAAATCTATGTATTTTAAAAGTTATTGTTTATGTAATTTATATATTTATTTTTAAATGACATGAGAACCTTTATATTAAAATTTAAATTAATTGTTATTGTAATTAACAGATTGAAAACTATGGATATATATTAATTAATATTAAAAAAAAAGTTGGTCATAAAAATATCATCACATCCCACCACTCATAGGTAAATTATGTCAAAAATGGTAAAAACTTAGGTAACACCTATATGATATACATTTTTCATAAGTAAAATTCGCCTCAAAACTATTATTATGATACAATTTATTAATTATATATCCGAATGCTTTAGAGCTTCAGCATTTCAATTGCCTCAAACTTTAATAAAAACCTATCAAATTCCTTACATACAGCTTGAACTCGTAGCTATAGACGTATAGTGTTTGGTATATGATTTCATATGTAGAATGTCGATAAAATAATATAATATATAGTCTTCACGAAGATTTGTTTCTGAAATCATGATTTGTCTAGGAAGTAGTGTATAGGCTCGTTGCAGTGATGCTGCTAAACGACACACGCACACAACAGAGAGAGAGGAAGCTAGAAACAGAAAACCCCCAAATTTGTGGACAAACAAAATCAAATTCTTGAATAATCTTCTTTATTTATCCCCCGATTTTATTATTTAATTCCCAACAAAATTTCACTGTTTCATTTAGAAAATTTCAGAACACGACACCCCTTTTACGAGAATCGAGGGTACAACCCTCCATGCAATGCTAGAAGAGGTAAAAGACATCTGAGTGTACAAGTATCTAATTGCACACAAATGCGTCATCAGACATAATGTAGAGTGTAGACACATTTTCCGTCAAGTTTATTTAATATTATTTTTAAAAAATTATTGTAAAAGTCGAGTAGTTACGTACCTCATCGTGACATTCGGTGTCGTACGTATCTCTGCCCTTGCGCTTCCGATGATCATCGGTTGTTGGTGGCGGTGGCTTTTGAGAAGATGGCTCTACACTGCCGCTTGCTCCTGAGCCACCCGAACCCGGAGATGATGTCACGCTTCGTTCACATGTCTCTATTTCCCTCCCCGCCGATGATGTACCTGCTGCGCTATGTCCTATGTTCGCTGAAGAAACCGGCGTCAGTTTATCCGACACACGCCAAGCCCTTGATTCCGGTGCTGCTACCGCCGGGGTCTCGTTCGAACTAGAAGGGCCTGATTCTGGAGTTCTGAGTTTATTAGGCCTCGAGAAATGCAAGAAATTTGGATACTTGGGTTGTCCTGATTCCAATTCCACGCGCCTGATTGGGGCAACCGGTGGGCGGGAAGAAGGAATCATTATGGACGGAGGTGGAGGTGGAGGCGGTGGGAGGGAGCAAGGGGTGGTGGTCACGGGAGTAGAGGATGGCGGCGTAGGATAGAGGAGATCGTTACTGTATAGATAGCCTTCTAACGTATTGTCGTCGACGGGGTAATGAAGCCAAGAGGCCATCTCGTCTTCTTGCATGAACAAGTCAGAAGGCCCCGTCCCTTCTTCAACGACGGAGGATCGGATGTCTCTACTGCCCACCGGCGGCCTTATTTCTGGCTTCTTATTCCCGACTGATCTCTGATTTCGGCTCTGCATCACCACTTGACCATTTTGCCATAGTAGCTCCATGACATCTTCATCTCCACCCCTACAGATACGTATAATCGAAATTAAACACAGAAGCACTGTTTTCTTAACAACTAGAACAACGTGATCAACGAATTCAAATTAATAATAGGAAGTGATTTACATTATCGATTTCTTGGGCGACTCTTGAATTAAGTAATCCTCGTCCGCTTCAAATTCAGGAACAGTAATATTCATCATCTAAATTCTTCTCACACCAATTAAAATTCAAAAATTTAATTGACCTCCTGCTAATAGTGATCAGCTCGATCGTCATTCACAGAGTCTCGTATAATAAGCCTTAACAAAAAGAATCACATAAGACAGACGATGCAATAACCTGTTAACTGTTAAGTATTTTCCTCGATTGAAAAAACGAATCTGTGAAGTCTCTTCCTTGATTGTGTATAGAACTCAATTAAAGTAAGCAGAGAGAATAGAAACCGAATCGATCAGCATGAGCAACAACCTTCAGCGATGACGGTTATGCGAATTTTGAGGTAATTTATTCATGAAAATGATGGCTGTCTTTTAGGGATGAGTTGATCTGAATGTCAGTATGTAGCTCTCAAGTAGAACCAAGATGATAAGGTGTATTTTTTTATTGGGATAATCACTTAAAAAGGTAACGAAGTTTCAAAAGTGTACAAAAAAGATCATTGTTGTTTTTTTTTAATACAAAATACCATTTTACCGGCTATTGTAGGTTATCCGGTTTTCAAATGTTCAAAAAATACTATTGTTGTTTTTTTAGTACAAAAATTACCATTAATGTTACTATTTGTACACAAAATACCAACAAAATACACATGTGTTCAACTAAAACATTGTGGTAACCAGGTACTTCAGGTAAATGGGATGAGATGAGCGTAATCAGCAAGTGCTTGTTTAATTTTTGTTGAAATTGTTGGAAAAGATCTTACTTCCACCGTATGATCAGCCGAACAAGATTACAGGTGATGTTTCGGCTGATAAATTTTTTCTCAAATCGGTGATGAGAAGAGCGTAATCAGCAAGTGTTTGTTCGGATGTTAGATAGGCTAAAGTAGAAGCATTCTTGTATGCCTCTTTCTGGCTTCCATATGACATCGATTCACCATAATATTGATGCTAGATCAAATCACGCAGCTTTTGATAAAATTGTATTATTAAAGGTCTGCAAGTGAACAAATTAATGTAGAGTAGAGTGATTAGGGCTTTTATTTCGGGGAAGATGACCATGGCACCAAAACGAGGGGCGAGTTCCCTACGAAGTCGGTGTTGGCAGCGAACCATTCGATGTCGCTTTCGTTGCCGCAATAAAGGAAGATTGGGCCCAAACGACTAGGGCCTGGGCCCACCCAGTGATCGGAGTTGATGAGATAATGTAGTTGGAACTTGGGAAGATCATTGAAACTGAAATGATCAAGAGTCTGATCAAAATATCGTGTCTCGTAAGTGTACTTCGGTTGAACAAAAATTTTTGGGTTTTGAGAAGCCGTGGGGATTTGCCGAGAAACGGAGGTGGCCGGTGAGATTCCGGCGTTGATGAAAGTAGGCAGATGATTAGGAGGAAGAATAAGAAAAAGGGTTTTGCCATGGTGGTGGAGGGTGGCGATGAACAACAGTAATGGCCGAAGTGAAGTGGATGGTTCTTTATAAAAAGTAGCTAAATTTCCATTACATTCAAAGAAGGAAAAATGACTTAAAAAGGTAACGAAGTTTCAAAATGTACAAAAAAGACCATTGTTTTTTTTTTTTTTTTTTTGTACACAAAATACAATTTTACCAGCTATTGTAGGTTACCCACAAGGTATTATTTGAACACATGTGTACTTCATTGGTATTTTGTGTATAAAAAATATACTTTAATGGTATTTTGTAGGAACGGGTCTAAGGCCACAATGTCGGCCCGTTCAGTTAGCCGTAGTTTCTGGACTTCGGTCCAATGTAGTAGTTAGTGTGTTTGACGCCTCCGTGGCTCAGACAGGATTTGTGTGCTTATGCTAGTTGATAGGTTATGATATGTTGTGTTCAGTCAGTCAGCTTCGGACTTCGGTTCGATGGAGGGGACAAGGTCCCATTCAGTCAGCTTCGGACTTCGGTCTGATGTAGGGGACAAGGTCCCAGTCAGTCAGCTTCGGAATTCGGTTCGATGTAGGGGACAAGGTCCCGGCCAGTCAGCTTAATATTGAACATACCAGTTAGGTTATTAATCTTTAATATTTTTTTTATAAATAAATATGAATACTAACGTGTATTCGTGCATGCTATAACATTCTAGTTTTAACATTTGGATATATATATATATATATATATATATGCTTAGATTATGTTGTTTTTTACTAACTAATGCACAGATCTAGTTTTAACATTTGGATATATATATATATATATATATATATATATATATATATATATATATATATATATGCTTAGATTATGTTGTTTTTTACTAACTAATGCACAGATCTAAAACAACAGATGAAATTAATCAATGGACATGATTTGAGAGTGTATGATATTACAATAGGATAACATGTACCATGTAATCACACAAATTTTAGTAAAAGGGTATTCTAGATAACTAACTACATTTATAAAAAGGAAATTTTCAAAATTTTAGAGATAATTAATTCTCTTAATTTTAAAAATCTGAATTTTTTTAATTAATTAATTTTAAATCTAACTTAATTTGTAAATTTAACCGATTTTATTCTGTCAGAATATTTTTTTGTTAGAATTATGTTCTTTCAGAATTTTATTCTATTAGAATATTATTGAAGAATAACAAAATTCTTGAATTCGAAATTGAAAAATAACAACATTCTAATATATTCTTATACATTCGAACTTAAATACAAATTCATACATATTTTATAGACAAAAAGTTTTATATATTATAATATAATTATACATATTCTAAAAGAATATCAACAAAATTGAATAAATATCTTAAAAAATAACAACATTCTTAAATTGTGAGCATAACCAAACTTTACTCATTCTTCAAGTTATTCCTATTAGTTCTTCAACGCATTTTTCTAGGCATTTCCATCACAAATACAACAAAAACTAATAATGGTTAAAAACATGTTATTTGCAGTTAACTATCACTTTATATATTCTGGTAGAATACATAGAATACATTCTGGCATAATGCATATAATTTATTATGGCAGAATACATTCCGATAGAAACATAGAAGACATTCAAAAGTATCGCATTTATTGCTAATATAATTTTAGATTCAAAATACACAATAACGAGGGACAATAGAACTTGGAATTCAAAATCACAAATTGAACCAAAATAATACACAAACAAATTAATTACATTTTTAAACAATTACATAAAACATGTGTTGCTAGTAAGTTTGACATAATGCATACCACAAGGTTAAATTCTTTAGATTCTCTTTCAGGCATTTCAACAAACACTTGTCCAAAATACCAAAATACCAAAATAAACGTAATTTATTAAAAAAATAATAACGATTAAAAACTATATAACAAATCTATGTATTTTAAAAGTTATTGTTTATGTAATTTATATATTTATTTTTAAATGACATGAGAACCTTTATATTAAAATTTAAATTAATTGTTATTGTAATTAACAGATTGAAAACTATGGATATATATTAATTAATATTAAAAAAAAAGTTGGTCATAAAAATATCATCACATCCCACCACTCATAGGTAAATTATGTCAAAAATGGTAAAAACTTAGGTAACACCTATATGATATACATTTTTCATAAGTAAAATTCGCCTCAAAACTATTATTATGATACAATTTATTAATTATATATCCGAATGCTTTAGAGCTTCAGCATTTCAATTGCCTCAAACTTTAATAAAAACCTATCAAATTCCTTACATACAGCTTGAACTCGTAGCTATAGACGTATAGTGTTTGGTATATGATTTCATATGTAGAATGTCGATAAAATAATATAATATATAGTCTTCACGAAGATTTGTTTCTGAAATCATGATTTGTCTAGGAAGTAGTGTATAGGCTCGTTGCAGTGATGCTGCTAAACGACACACGCACACAACAGAGAGAGAGGAAGCTAGAAACAGAAAACCCCCAAATTTGTGGACAAACAAAATCAAATTCTTGAATAATCTTCTTTATTTATCCCCCGATTTTATTATTTAATTCCCAACAAAATTTCACTGTTTCATTTAGAAAATTTCAGAACACGACACCCCTTTTACGAGAATCGAGGGTACAACCCTCCATGCAATGCTAGAAGAGGTAAAAGACATCTGAGTGTACAAGTATCTAATTGCACACAAATGCGTCATCAGACATAATGTAGAGTGTAGACACATTTTCCGTCAAGTTTATTTAATATTATTTTTAAAAAATTATTGTAAAAGTCGAGTAGTTACGTACCTCATCGTGACATTCGGTGTCGTACGTATCTCTGCCCTTGCGCTTCCGATGATCATCGGTTGTTGGTGGCGGTGGCTTTTGAGAAGATGGCTCTACACTGCCGCTTGCTCCTGAGCCACCCGAACCCGGAGATGATGTCACGCTTCGTTCACATGTCTCTATTTCCCTCCCCGCCGATGATGTACCTGCTGCGCTATGTCCTATGTTCGCTGAAGAAACCGGCGTCAGTTTATCCGACACACGCCAAGCCCTTGATTCCGGTGCTGCTACCGCCGGGGTCTCGTTCGAACTAGAAGGGCCTGATTCTGGAGTTCTGAGTTTATTAGGCCTCGAGAAATGCAAGAAATTTGGATACTTGGGTTGTCCTGATTCCAATTCCACGCGCCTGATTGGGGCAACCGGTGGGCGGGAAGAAGGAATCATTATGGACGGAGGTGGAGGTGGAGGCGGTGGGAGGGAGCAAGGGGTGGTGGTCACGGGAGTAGAGGATGGCGGCGTAGGATAGAGGAGATCGTTACTGTATAGATAGCCTTCTAACGTATTGTCGTCGACGGGGTAATGAAGCCAAGAGGCCATCTCGTCTTCTTGCATGAACAAGTCAGAAGGCCCCGTCCCTTCTTCAACGACGGAGGATCGGATGTCTCTACTGCCCACCGGCGGCCTTATTTCTGGCTTCTTATTCCCGACTGATCTCTGATTTCGGCTCTGCATCACCACTTGACCATTTTGCCATAGTAGCTCCATGACATCTTCATCTCCACCCCTACAGATACGTATAATCGAAATTAAACACAGAAGCACTGTTTTCTTAACAACTAGAACAACGTGATCAACGAATTCAAATTAATAATAGGAAGTGATTTACATTATCGATTTCTTGGGCGACTCTTGAATTAAGTAATCCTCGTCCGCTTCAAATTCAGGAACAGTAATATTCATCATCTAAATTCTTCTCACACCAATTAAAATTCAAAAATTTAATTGACCTCCTGCTAATAGTGATCAGCTCGATCGTCATTCACAGAGTCTCGTATAATAAGCCTTAACAAAAAGAATCACATAAGACAGACGATGCAATAACCTGTTAACTGTTAAGTATTTTCCTCGATTGAAAAAACGAATCTGTGAAGTCTCTTCCTTGATTGTGTATAGAACTCAATTAAAGTAAGCAGAGAGAATAGAAACCGAATCGATCAGCATGAGCAACAACCTTCAGCGATGACGGTTATGCGAATTTTGAGGTAATTTATTCATGAAAATGATGGCTGTCTTTTAGGGATGAGTTGATCTGAATGTCAGTATGTAGCTCTCAAGTAGAACCAAGATGATAAGGTGTATTTTTTTATTGGGATAATCACTTAAAAAGGTAACGAAGTTTCAAAAGTGTACAAAAAAGATCATTGTTGTTTTTTTTTAATACAAAATACCATTTTACCGGCTATTGTAGGTTATCCGGTTTTCAAATGTTCAAAAAATACTATTGTTGTTTTTTTAGTACAAAAATTACCATTAATGTTACTATTTGTACACAAAATACCAACAAAATACACATGTGTTCAACTAAAACATTGTGGTAACCAGGTACTTCAGGTAAATGGGATGAGATGAGCGTAATCAGCAAGTGCTTGTTTAATTTTTGTTGAAATTGTTGGAAAAGATCTTACTTCCACCGTATGATCAGCCGAACAAGATTACAGGTGATGTTTCGGCTGATAAATTTTTTCTCAAATCGGTGATGAGAAGAGCGTAATCAGCAAGTGTTTGTTCGGATGTTAGATAGGCTAAAGTAGAAGCATTCTTGTATGCCTCTTTCTGGCTTCCATATGACATCGATTCACCATAATATTGATGCTAGATCAAATCACGCAGCTTTTGATAAAATTGTATTATTAAAGGTCTGCAAGTGAACAAATTAATGTAGAGTAGAGTGATTAGGGCTTTTATTTCGGGGAAGATGACCATGGCACCAAAACGAGGGGCGAGTTCCCTACGAAGTCGGTGTTGGCAGCGAACCATTCGATGTCGCTTTCGTTGCCGCAATAAAGGAAGATTGGGCCCAAACGACTAGGGCCTGGGCCCACCCAGTGATCGGAGTTGATGAGATAATGTAGTTGGAACTTGGGAAGATCATTGAAACTGAAATGATCAAGAGTCTGATCAAAATATCGTGTCTCGTAAGTGTACTTCGGTTGAACAAAAATTTTTGGGTTTTGAGAAGCCGTGGGGATTTGCCGAGAAACGGAGGTGGCCGGTGAGATTCCGGCGTTGATGAAAGTAGGCAGATGATTAGGAGGAAGAATAAGAAAAAGGGTTTTGCCATGGTGGTGGAGGGTGGCGATGAACAACAGTAATGGCCGAAGTGAAGTGGATGGTTCTTTATAAAAAGTAGCTAAATTTCCATTACATTCAAAGAAGGAAAAATGACTTAAAAAGGTAACGAAGTTTCAAAATGTACAAAAAAGACCATTGTTTTTTTTTTTTTTTTTTTGTACACAAAATACAATTTTACCAGCTATTGTAGGTTACCCACAAGGTATTATTTGAACACATGTGTACTTCATTGGTATTTTGTGTATAAAAAATATACTTTAATGGTATTTTGAATACTAAAAATAAAATAATGGTATTTTTTGTACATTTTTGAAACTTCTTATTTATTAGTATCAAATATATTAGTTCAATTTTTTAATTTAGGTACCAAGATCTAAATAGTAAATAGAGCCATATCCAGTCAAGTGTACGTTGTTGGAATTTACTGTAACAGACCGTTTATATCTCAGACGGTGAACAACCAACAACACCAATGGAATAATGAAAAAAGGTAAATTACACTAATAGTCCCTGTGGTTTAGAGTAGTTTTTGTGATTGGTATTTATTTTTTTAGTCGTTGTCGAACTTGAAATGACCATTATAACCTTTCTTATTTTATTTTAGATTATTTTTTATTATTAGTATTAATTTTTAAAAAAATATTAATTTTGAAGGGCCCACTCCATAGCAATACCCAATAGCAAAACATGATCCGTCTCTTTCCCCTCCAGGCTTAACAGTCACACTTCCCCCTTTATTTCTTGGTTCAAAACTCAGACTTTGCTGCCACCGGAGAAGACAACTAACCACATAGTCTTCAGCGACGTAGATACAACACGAATGTAATAAAGAATGAGAACATGTCTAACCATCTCATTCGCGATCTGAAACCTGTAACCCACCCAACTCGGACGACCTTCCCTATACTATTCCATGATTCTTTCAGAAATTCATTTTCATATTCCTTCTAGTGGTGTCGTGGTGGAGACGAAGGTTGGCTGACTTCTTCCCTATTTTTTTTATTTCATGGTCTCAACAACCCCATATCTAGCACCTTTTGTCCCCTCTCATTCTCACCAGAAAACATCATCACCGTTACTGATATTCTCAGTCTAGCTCTCTCTGTTCCACCTATAAACAAACATTATAAAACATAATCATCCATCACCTCTCTAATCCACCTCTCTCATATTCACCTGAAGCCACCATCAAATAATCTATTGTAGACTTCAGATCTGTGATAGATCACGTCTACAACTCAACCATAGGTAAACAATGATAGAAGAAAGTTACATTGGTTGGCTTTGAATCAGTTGTACTTCCAGGTGAATTGGCCAAGCACGTCGGAATGCACAAAGGCGGTGATAAAATTTACAATCTCTTACAGAGAATTTCATTTATGTTGAATTATTTCGTCCTCTGTGATATCTCGATGAAATATCCCCATGATAGGGTTTTCCAACATTGATGCTCATATATTAGGCAGTTGCTATATGAGCTCAGGCCGCTGGGTATTTTGTGTTGGATCTGGATCAAAGATGTGGAGGTGGTGCTGTAAGCGAATTTTCGGCGAGATACCTAAGTTGCCATCATGGCAAAGTCACTAGAGTTTCCCCAAGGACGTTGCGAAGTAGGGATAAACCTAACCCTTTGAAATTATTCACTCCTCTTAATATGTAACTTAGCGTATTCGTTTACTAGTTAATTAAGGATAATTATAACTCCTAATAGCACAAAGCAAACAACATTTGGGCATTAAGTAACCCAAACCAAGCATATCTGTAATGACCTGAATATCCTATCGTAAACAACGTTAGTTGTTCTGTTACTCGAAGAACTATTTATGCAAAGTATTTTAGCTTTTTGAGGTTAAAATGAAATTAATTAACTAAAAGTAGTATTATTTAATATCTAAAAGAATTAATAAAAATTGAAAGGTGCACAATTTAATGAAATTGATTTGTGAAATTATTAGGTGTAACACCCCAAAAATCACGACTGAAAATTTTCTTTAAACATTACTAAAACCATAATTATAAAAGCCATGTCATAATTCATAACATACGTTCAGAGTATTAATTCAAAACATTTTCTCATCCCAGGTTGTCTAATTAATGGTGTGTGCTATGTGATCACCCCGAGCTCTTCCCTTCGCTGCCGGAAGTACCTGAAACCAAAACTGAAAACCGTAAGCACAAAGCTTAGTGAGTTCCCCAACCTATCACATACCCTGCAAAAACACATATAGCACATACTGGGCCACTCCCACTACTTTGGGCCTTGCCCCTACCTCGAGCCTCGCCCGCTACAACGGCCCCGCCGCTCCAGGCCCCGCCTGGCCTCGAGCCCCGCTCGAATACAAATCTGTTTATTTTAGGCCCCGCCCGCTAACCACATAATACAAAATAGCATATAACACATAACTGAACACACCCTACTGTATTCCTCTCCTAAGGCCTCGCCTGTCTTGGGCCTCGCCCCTATCCTGTTACTAGTGAGTCATTGAACCCCGTCGAAGCTCCTACTGTAAGTGAGATACGGGCTCCCCCGCCCACACTCACTCCATACCTGTCTCGGGCTTCACCCCTGCTATGCTACTAATGAGATATGGAACACCGTCCGTACTCTGCTATTGGTGAGATACGAGACCTCGCCCACACTCACCTTCCTACCAGGCACATACATGCATCACACAGACAACAAGTATACTCTATCATGCACACCACTCCTTGGGCACCTGTGCGACATTGGACCTAGGTCCTGAATATCATAATAGCAAACAGTGCTTAGGGCTAACCCTCGGGTCTTCCTACTCATAACTACATGGGTCGGCATTATGGTCGTAGACCCATTCACACAAAGGGAAACTCACCTGCACTACTGAACTTTGCTAATAACCCTCTGGCTACTGTCCGACAATTCTCTGAACTGTTGCTCCACTAGCTCCACTAGCTCCCCGAGCTACCAATATCAAAATACATATATATCACTTAGATCCAAACTGAACTCTAGAAGCCAACTAAGTCCACTCTTGACAAAGTCAAAGTCCTGGTCAAAGTCAACCTTCCTGATTGACTCTACTCGCTGAGTCAACCTGTTGACTCGTCGAGTCCTTATACTCAGAAACTCTCACAATACACCTCAACTCGCCTAGTCACCCCGTCGAGTTCAACAATCTCCGATTCCCATCCTGTCCAACTCACTGAGTCACCACTCAACTCACCGATCTCAGTCTTAAACATAAAAGGTTGAGGTTCTGAGATCCAAATCGTCGAGTCCAAGAACAGACTCGCCGAGTTCACGACAATCTTCAACAGACCCGCCGAGTTTTTCTTCAACTCGTCGAGTTCCTGCCTATCTTCATACAACTCATCGAGTCCAAGAACAGACTCACCGAGTAGCTTCAGTTCTTAATCCATACAGTGGCTTTTCGAGCCATGCAGGGGCTCCATAATGTAGATCCACTCTTCTAAGGCCCACCCTTCACGTAAAGTTGCAAAAGTTACGTGAAACCAAGGAGCTATAGGCTTAAAACTCTCTAGGGCTAGGGTTTGAGACAAGCATGCTTCACCAACACACCAAAGACTGATACTTTATGGGTTTCTAGGCCAAGACAACCCTAGATCCGAAGTTCTCTTTGCTCACCGGGACCAGAGCTGCCCACTGGTCTACCCTGTAGCGTCACCATACTACATAATAACATAACAACCATCAGAATACTCTTCACTATCAAGGGATCACACACGCACTCCAAGTTCCTGGTTCTATCTTGGCCCTCCTGGACTCGAGTACAGATCCTATGCTTTCAGTAGTATGGGCCCATAATACCTTCCACATCTATCCATACTTTCCTCAAGGATTGATTCAACTTCACCAAGTCCCTTCTACTACTGCTGCATTCTATGCTAATCTCATCCTAGGCTTACCCAAGGGTAACTCTCCAACCCACTCTCTGCCATCAGCCACACAAGAAGTTCCGGTCATCTCTCCCTAACTAGCTCATGAATACCATTACATATTGCTAAGACCGGATAATTCTTCGAATGAGAGGTCTCTCCCTACAACGGTTAGACTTAGATGAGAGCTGTGAAGTAGGGCTAAACCCAACCCTCTTAAATTATTCAGTCCTCGTAATA